AGATCGTGTTTTATCGGGTCTAAAACCACTCGGCTGCGCCTCGTGTTTTATACCCGATAAAACACTCCTGCTCGTTTATTAAACATTACATAAACCTTTTGAGCCAGGGATAGTGGTGCGATGTGGTACGTGATGATATGGTGCGCTGTGTAGTGGTGTGGTATGATTCGATGTTGTGTTGTGGTGTGGTTTATTGTGGTGTTGTGCGTTCTGATATGGTGTGTAGTGGTGTTGTGCGTTCTGATATGGTGTGTAGTGGTGTTGTGCGTTCTGATATGGTGTGTAGTGGTGTGGTGCAATGTGGGGTGGTTCGCTATAATATGGTGTGGTTTATTGTGGTGTGTTGTGATGTGAATTGGTGCGTTGTGATGTAATGTAGTATGTTGTGAAATGTGGTGCGGGGCGTTGTGATATGCGTTGTGGTATAGTGCGGTGGTTGTGGTTGACAACAGATGTTTTTAAACGTGAGGTTGGGTGCGATGTGATATGTTGAGATATAGTGGTGTGAAGTACAGTGGTGTAGTGTAGTGCGACACGTAAATAAAGAATACTATGCTATTTTTCCTATAAATATTAATCCCCATTACTTATTGTGTGCATGTTATGCCTACAACCTATTGTCATTAGAATTATCTTCCAAAACAATCCCGCCAAACCACAAGACACAAAATCAATATTTGTTCACAATTGACAACAGATGTTTTTAAACGCGAGGACACTGAAAGCAGTGTCCAGATTTGTGCGCCACACATCCTGACTATATACGAGATTCTCTGATAAACCAATCACATAACCCTGCATAACTTTAACTATGTTCCTGGGTAACTCTGAAAGCGATAGAAATACTTTTTAGGGGTCCATTGAGGTTTTGTTACATTCCTTGCAGTGGTACCAAACACTAACACTCTGGACATACAAACACCGTGAGATCACTAACCGATGTTTTTGTAATCAAAAGTAAGGCTGTGACAGGTTATAAATGCGGCGTGAAAAATTAGCAACCGTTTAAAATCACTATCTCGGGAAAACACGCAGATTTGATACAATCCAGCTCTCTTTTTTTATCATCAATATTAGTATCTGGCTATCTTGGTATTATGATGAAAATTTCCCACTCAAGTGCAAATGAAAATGTAATAAAGTACATTTTGTCCTACGGGTGTTCAAGAGTTTAAATTCCATCTGAAAATATTTCAAGTAACGTGAAGGATATCCTATAAGTTGTATTAATTACTATTCAACCACTTCTCGGCTATCCGGATGAGAAATATCAATAATTTATTCCCATGTTGTTGTTKTTTTTTTGGTATTATATGTTTGTATATATTTATATTATTTATTTATAGTACATGGGGTGAAAATATTTGCAAAAATTTTGCACAAGGATGTAAAAAAAAATTTAAATGAAAAGTTGTGAAAAAAATTGTTTGGGAAAAAGAAAAATATTTATGTAAGGTATGAGATTTTCAAAATTACAATCATTAGCAGAAGTAGTCATGAACTTAAGTAAAATTAACCGATTGACTGGCATACAATATAAGCAATAACCATATGATGGCCATAGCAAATGAGACTGAACCCTGCGAAATTAGCTCTGCATTATCATCAATTGTATTCTTCTAATCTCGGTGCAATCTTAATGTCATAAAAGCCACCGCGTCATGAATGTCAATAGGGGGAATGACGCCGCCAAAAAGGGGACATGATGTTGACTTCCTTGGCGAAAGCAGTTCACTTAAAGTTGATTTAATCGTCAAACAAATCTTTTGAGAAATCTGGGGTATTATCATGGTCTCATCACAGAGTGTCTAGAGTCGATTTAGCTTAATCAAACTCCTTTTTATCGACGGAAGGTCTCAAAATACAACCGTAATTAGCGTTTAGGTCCTGTGAGTTTTGAAGCTATCGGAGCGATAAACAAAGAGCTCGAAATGACCAGATCAATGAAAATCGGCGTGTCTTAAGTTATCAAACGTTCGTTGATAGGTATTAAAAATCACTGAGCTTCAAAGTCTGAATGAAAGATACGCGGTTAATAGGTCTAAAAGGTTCTCAAGCCCGCCCGGGCACTATTGTTCTAGAAACGTAGTCTTAAGACTCGAGTACGAATCTGTTTAAGTAGTTTAATTAAGAAAAAATGAGCTCAAAAGGCAATGTATTGTTCAAAGGAGCTGTGTAAAGAAAGAAATATATTTTTACACCAAACTGTTTGATTAACATGTTTATCATTACAGTGAGCTAAGCTTGCCGACTTTTTATTGCTATTTATAAGCGTACTTTTAAAATATCTTTTTTTATCTTTATAAAAAAAAAACGTACAAAAAAAAAAAAAAAAAAAAAAAAAAAACACCTAGTGCGAGTACAATCGACCACTTGGCTTACCCTACCCCCTGAGGGAAATTGTGTCATATTGGGTAATTTTCGTCTTTGAAGGCTGAATTGACATAAGGGCTCAAAGCTGTCATCAACGTTAATATGTTCATTCACAGGCCTGAGACTTTGTTGAATTTGCGAGGTGGAGTTTTTATTAGTTTTTCCCGAGGTTCGGCGCGCGTTGCCTTGTGATGTTTCATGTTTGCTTGATCACAGTAATTAACTGAGCTAGGGCTAGGTATTCAACGCCCGGAACTGGACGACTAGTTGGTGAGATGTCATGAGTCATACACTTGATCCACGTCAATCGCAGCACGGTAAATGGACCCATTTTAATGCCTAGATATCTAGTCAGATAAGAAAGCCGTGCAACTCGGATTTCGTCAGATCAAATCCCGATCCCAATCTTGTATTATCAGCTCACAAAACAAAACACCAAGTGAATCATTTTCTCATCAGTACAAAAGTCGGCAATTAAGATCATCTTTCCTGGAAGAAGAGCCCAAGAACTCACTCAGTAGAATCAAAAGAATTAGCAGTTTATCGATCAAGGAGCGAGGGATCATTTTACTTTGTTAGGACTAGAGCCATGACCTCTGTTGGCTCAACAATTAGAAGCACCGTTCAGTTTCTTAACTGTTCGGAAAACATTACGATGAATTGTACAAATTTTACGAACGCGTCTTCGACAAGTGCAAGTTTCATGTCAGAAGAAAAGGAAAGTATGTGGTCGACAATAACGAGGATTACTCTCTGCTGCTTGGTCTTTATACTCAACCTTCTGGGCAACACCATGGTATGTATCGTAGTTAACCGAAGTCGAAAGCTCAGAAGTTCAAGAAACTACTATTATGGTTTATTCTTGGTAAATCTCTCAGTGGCTGACATGACGGTGGCCATTTTTATCATGCCATTTGTGTTGATGTTCTATGAGACTGGCAAGTATCCCTTTGGATTTTATGGGTCTACTGCAGCTTGCAAGCTTATACCAACACTCAGTCTCATGTGCCAGGGAGCTTCTATCTACAGCTTAGCATCGTTGACTCTGCAGCGGTATATCGGGATTGTTTACCCTCTGAAAGCAAGATTGACCTTATTTCGGGTCAAATTAGTACTGACTTTGGTTTGGTTCTTCGCTTTTTTGAACGCTTTTCCATTGATTATTGTATCTGATGGAGTACCAACACCCAAGTACAACCAATACAGCTGTGACGAATACTGGCCGAATGGCTGGCTACGCTTTGGATACACCTTGTATCTGTTCCTGTTTGAATATCTCGTTCCGTTGGCCATTATATGTATGACGTATACCAAGATGGCACTCGTGCTGTGCAACAGGGAGAAGGAATTCGAAGGCATACGGTCATGTACTAAAAAAACCAAGGTACGACATATGAAATTCATTCGGCTTCTGTTCGTGTTAGTAGCATCTTTTGCTGTGTGCTACCTCCCAAATCACGTGTTGTTTTTCTGGTACGACTACGGCAACGGCAGCGCCTATCCCTACTTTACAATCATGATGAAATGGTCGCATTTCTTTCTGTGGCTCAACTCTTGCCTTAACCCATACCTTTACGGAGCCTTGGACGATTATTTTAGCGAGGGGTACAGGAAGGTTCTTAGACAATGCGCTAGACTTGATGTTAAGAGCAAAGTTACTCATTCAAGGATCGCCCGTCAGTTGTCTAAAATATATTCCATTAAAACCTTTTCGGGAACTGAAATGGACTCCAATTCCGACGAATGAGTACATAGAAACAAATAAATGCGAATGAATCTTTTGGCAAAACTTTAACGAAAATGTATTTACGGAAGTTGCAGTTATTTTTTAAAATATTTGATCTCACTGATATTAAAATTTCTTTCGCTAAAAACCTGAGGCATCATTGAATATTCAGTATTATATATTCTTGGTTTACTTCTGTTTGTACAGCACTGACTTATGAAAATTTCATTTAAATCAATGATAAGCTATTTTTACTTCAATTACTCAAGCGCATTTCAATCTCAGTTTGTGATGTTACACCTTTCTATAAATATTAGTCTCGATTCGCATGGAATTATTTCTTGGTGTATATATATGAAAAAGTAAACGCGATTATAAAAGATTAAGTCGACTCAATAACCAGACGAATAGTCGGCAGATCTTCAGCTTTATTAATTCTGACTCGGACCGTATTTAAGATACCAGTTCGTAATAGTATCCAATAATCAACTTCCTCGATATCCGTAGAGCCATGTTGCTGCTATCAATTGTGTTCTAATTAATGTCACGGCTCAGCTCGAAAAAAAACTGATAACAAAATAATAGACAAAAGATGTTTCTTGGAATTAACAGACATTCAAAAAGGCAGTCAAACGCAAACCTGGCAACTTGAAATTTCAGAAAAGTATAACAGTTTACGGATATTGGATTTGAAGGCAAATCTAGCAAAGGACTATCATTGGTGCATTTTGGAACAATTCTGTCGAGAGCTTGTTTCTAAGATCCACAAATGTTTTGCTCATTATAAAGAACTTTCTGATATCTAGACAGGCTTTGGATTCTGGAACAATCACGTTTAGGAGAGTTCGCAAATGTTCAAAAATCACCACGGGAATTTTTTTATGGCAGGTGTGATCGTGTGTTGATTAGAAAGAGACAAATACTTTAATGTGTGTGGGACTGGCATCAAGCATCGAAAATCTAGTCGTCTTAGGATAATTTAGAGAGAGTTAGAGATTAAGGTCCTTTTCTAGTTTGTCAGAAATGACCGTATCATTGATCTGTATACAACGAAAACATCAAGTACTCAGAGGAGGCTGATGAAAGTAGTGCCCAGCGAGATCATTATTATGTCATTAACATCACATCTGACTGAACATCAACTGACTGGAAAAATACTCTATCCGCGTATGGCGGCAGCTAGACTTACATAATATCAATAGTAAAGTCAGGTGACACTTTGAGGGGAAACAAGATTTCATGTAAAAGGTGTAACATCGATTTGCCCTCTAAATTTAGTTCATAAAGTGAGCGTCTCGTAGAACTTGATGAGGAACCTCTTGTTCGCAAATGTAAACAGATGTTAATACAATTCGTCAAAAACATGTCCTAATTAAAAATCCAAATAYACGTTTTCAATGATTTGTTTGTGTGTGTTTGTTCAATATATTAGTTCCAGAAGGATTTTGCCGGTTTACTTTCAGTTCTTAACTTGTCTAACATTCGTGCTTTCAATGCGGCATTGTGAAATACGAATTCTGTTATCATTGTAAATATAATAAAGTTGCAAAAAAAATAAAATAAAAATAATTTACTTGTTTCTTTACTATTCTTATTGTTGTGGATTGATATAATTCTAAAAAGTCTTATCTATTAGTAATATTGCAACAATTTCAAGAAATTGCCATCAATTCTGCAGAATTTATTGAGTGATTACTTTGGAATTTTTAGAAAAATAATGAGTTCATTTTAAAATTTGGGTTATGAAGCAAATTAATACTCCTAGCTACAAGTGTTGTCTTCGCTATAACTGTTTTTTTTYCTTCAAAACATTATATTACAGTGAGCCAATATTACATTAAGCTTGGGGATATTTTTACAAAGGAAAACACTACGACATCTTATGGTGATGGTTGCGGATCATCATCGTGATTTTAAATATCTGCTCAATTCCTCCCCTAATTTAAACTTTGTATTACGCGTTGCGYCACTTTAACCTTTACGTGTATTATATATATCAAATGAATGATGGCTGACCCTGTTTTCTCAGCGACTTCTTGCAATTTTGCGTGCAGGTGGAAAGCGATGTATTTTGAGGGGTTTATTTTAGGGATGTATTTTAGGAAAGAATTACCAAAAGAAAATTGAACAAGGTGAAATGATAAGGATAAACGAGGTTTGCYAAGATTTCGTAATGGAGCAATTGTTTCCACCATCCCTCCCCCCTCCCCTCCCCCCCACTTTCTTCCAAGAATCCAAGAATTGTGGTCAAGATAAGCTGGAAGCTGAAAGCTGGAATGATAATCAGGAAGAATCTTATCATTAAACGATGGCACAAACTCAATGCAGGGGAACATGCATAAAGAAAGGAATCACTTCATCTTTTTTATCTTCACTGATAAATAATGTACATAGTATGGATAAGTTTGATTATCAGCGCAAAAGATGAGCGTGATGATCAGAGCAACATGAATGATGTTATTAAACATTTATCCACGATGACGTCAGGCACGAGGCCACGTCATGTACTTCAGCTTAAAATGTGCGCATTTCACTGTTGTTGTTTTTCTTTCTATTTACCCCTAGTGATATCCATATCCTGCCTACCCTACGCAAGATGACGGAACATGTACTTCACACTAGGACGTCTTCAGTGTAACTAGACTCTAGGACCTCGTAAACGATATTGAAGGCTTCTTGAACAAGAATAACACCAAGATGCGATAAAAATCTTATGATAATAAACTACAAATCCTTCTACGTGCGGTAATCAGTAAAGCGACCTTGCCTATCGCTGTCCGTGTTTGCGATTGTATGAGATATAGACCATTCACAGAATACGTGATCCTCGGCGCGGAAAAGTTTCTCCAATAACTTTTACTTTACTCTATAATTAGTTTGCATCAAGGAGCAGGGTGTGATGGCCAAGTCTCACGATTCAGAGCCTTCTGTTTTAAGAAAGCTTTAGCCATGATGCCAGATTTAATTGGAATTTAGAGGATGATTCTTGAGGAGGAGACAAAATGGTGAAACATCCTTGAAGCACAGAAGGGAACCAACAAGCAACTCTACTAACATATGTCAGCGAGTCTGGGTATTGAATCCATGACTACAACAGTGAGGAGGCGTATTACCAGCGCACTCCATGTGTGCTTATATGTCTCTTCCTCCCCATAAAAATTTGTTCCCGGCCTGGTACTGTCCAGATTTCGTTTCCATAAAAACGTACAACTGCATTTTAACACGGCTCAAGAAGAAGTCTCAGAAGTCTCTGGATTTAATAGCTGTTACATTGAACACTTATTTTTGATACGTACGAAATTTGTCGCAAATGAAAAGTGGAAGGATGGCCTCTTACGAGAAAATAAGGTTCTTCTAAAGCTCTTACTATGCAGTCTAAGATTGTCGATGAACTTTTACGCGCCTTTATGTAGACGTTCCCGTAAGAAAAATCAGTACACTTCAATTTAACGTAAAATTTCAACCTTTTGTGATTGCACTGAAAATATCAATATAAGAACTTTTAAAAAAAATTTATGGCATCAATCATTTTACGTTTCTTACGATGGCTTCCACGCACCTTTGACTCAAAGACTTTCCCGCAAAAAAAAAAAAAAAAAAAAAAAAAAAAAAAAAAAAAAAAAAAAAAAAAAAAAAATCAGTACACTTCAATTTAACGTAAAATTGCAAAAATATCAATATAAGACTTTAAGAAAAAAAAGTTTATGGCATCAATCATTTTACAGGCCTTTTTTGCACTCAAAAAGTCAAGTTAACCTGACCTACAAGAAGCATTCGAGGTTCCTGTGTGTCTAGGAACTGAGTCCATTCTTCGAGTCAACAACCACTTGCTCTCAAACAGTTCCGGCAAAAATTGTCAGGGATTTTACAATTTCATTTACTGATTTAATAACCTAACTTCCTTAACAAACTTCCCACACTTACTAGAGAGCTCTGCTTCCATGCAGCTTGGCTCGGGTCTGCGAATGACATATTCTTAGAAATATTGTCGGATAAGTCTGACTAATGCACAATTCATGGCTTTCTCATTGCTAGCTCCAGAAATTAACTGCGACCCTTATGGGATACGACTTCTGCCAGAACCTCAGATTTCGAATTACCCTGGTCCAGAGGTTAAATTGTTCTCGCTCCTCCGTTTCTGTTTTGAAGGGAAGTCGCCTGCTCGTTACAAGAAGTGAAATTACTTTCAAATTCGTTTCTTATTTAAATGTTTTAACTCCTTGAATAATGAAAGTATTAGTATTAATTAGTCGAACAAAACGAGCTTCAATAAGCGGTATACTGTATCAAGATTAAATAGAGAAAGGAAAAATCTGATTCCAAATAAATCATCCTTTTGGTCGACTGAATAATATTTGGTAAAAGTTCCATCGCGAATAAAGGGTGGTGTAGCGGTTGTACACTCGCCTCACATGGGATCTCAGATTCCATTCCCAGACTCAGCGAACTGAATTAGCCTTGTCCTGAATGTTTCATGGTTGGGTTAAATTTGTACTGAGGCTTTTAAAGCCAGTTTGCCCAATCTTTTAATCCATGTTAAAAGAGTTCCAAAATGAACTATATTCTACAAATACATCCATGTTTTTGCAAGTTATTTATCAATCCATATTTTCTAGTCAATTGCATGCTTAATTTCCCCAACAAATAACCAACAAACATTCCAATTTGATTTCAAAATATTTGCACGTCTTTTATTCTATACGTGTCTTTTCTGACAAAACCATCACGTCCTTCTCCTGTTATCTTTGTCATTTCCTTGGATACTCTTTTTATTTACTCAATATGGACATCATTTTGACATGAATTATCGTCTTAAAACAATTCCACCTCATTCCTTGGCAACTACGATTCCAAGGAATTTCGTCATTAGGAAGGAATTAAGACGATGTTGTTGATATTTTTTTTCGGTGATAAACGCAAAGAAGGTTACCAAACTGTTTAATCAGTGTCATATAATTCGATTATTGGTGCGATAATAGGGTTTGGCTTATGTAGTGTTAATAGTATTAACCTGGGTCTTTACAGGGGTGTCGCGCTATCGTGTGCTGGCGATAAGAAAATGTTTACTAATGAATTGAATAACAAAAGCTTCAATCAAGACGAGGGCTTTGGTTCGCCAAAAATTCACAAAGGACCGAATGCTTTTATGGAGGAATGTTTGATAGTCTTCTTGAAAAACACTTTAGATGGGAACGGCTCACATTCCAAGACTAAAAACAGATCAGTTGAATGAAGAAAGAAGATAACTGAAGACAACCTTCAATTTTTATCAAATTTATCACCAACCTCTGGGCTGATCTAAGTCAGGGCATGGCTAACTAACAAATAGAACCCTGAAACAATCTGTGGGCTGATGTAAGTCAGTACAAGGCTAACTCACAGATAGAATCCTGAGACAACCTCTGGGCTGATCTAAGTCAGGGCATGGCTAACTCTCAGATAGAACCCTGTAACAACCCCATAGGAGATAGCGATAGGCTAGCGTACTATCGCCACTTTTAATTCTCAAATAAAGAATTCCGTCCAGATATGAAAAAAAAAAAAAAATCGATTGTAAATCACTATGCACTAGATTGATTTATGATAAATATAAGTAGAATATCATTCCACGATGGCATCAAAAGGAGTCATTTATCGGGTATATATATATATATAGGTTACAATATACTCAGTCTGTGTTATCAGTTTAAGCAATGTTGGGTCTGTTTTTGGCTTTTGGTCTAGAGTGTACAGAGGCATGTGAGCCTCTATTCATGATCTGTTCATTGCCATATGCATTCTGAAAGCAACACCCGTTTTAAAACACAAAAAGCCGTCGTTATCTCGCGATTGGAATAGACTTCCATCCGATAACGAGACAACTAACTGATAAACAGTTTGTTGTTTTCGCACTAGAAATTGAAAGATATATTGAAAAACTATAGTGTATATCGCCCATCAGATGAGAATCGTATGGATATAATAATATAACGAGACAACTAACTGATAAACAGTTTTTTGTTTTCGTACTAGAAATTGAAAGATATTTGAAAAACTATAGTGCATATCGCCCATCAGATGAGAATCGTATGGATATAATAATATAACGAGACAACTAACTGATAAAGAGTTTTTTGTTTTCGCACTAGAAATTGAAAGATATATTGAAAAACTATAGTGTATTTTGCCCATCAAATTTGAGTGGTATAGATATGATATAACAAATGTATTGATGATGTGTGTGAATGAAAATGGAACCCATTTTGTACCAAAAGAGCTGCCACAGCAAGATAAAACGTATATCATTTGGTCTATCTGATAACTAGTATAAAATGACTTCTTGAATAGGAAGAAAATAAGATAAGAGTTGTATGCGTATATTGAATGCGGGTTACAAATGAATATTTTTTAGGGTTTTTTTTTCGACGGGTTTTCCAGTTTTCTTCCTTCAGCAAAACACAACACGCTAAATTCGAATTTTATCTGTGAGYTAGTCGTATCTTGACCTTAATCAGCCCAGAGGTTGTCTTGGAGTTGAATAATATTGATGTTTGACTAAATAACTAACAAACAAAACTGTTTCATTTTATCCTGGTTTAAAATCAAGTGTAAAATGACTCCTGGAATATTTAGGAAACAGTGAAACATCCATTTGAGAGGTAATACAGTTACTATACTAATACAGGTAATACTATATGAAGAAATATTAAGTTTCAAAGAAAATGTCTGATTTTCAAAAGATTTGGGTTGTTATACATTACATCTAAAGCAAGATCGGAGTAGATTAAATCAAGCATCACGAGTCAATCCCTTAAGTATTACTTTTTTCATTACTAGCTCAGTTTTCTAGAGAAAATGCATCAATTGATGGGTTGCAAGTATTCCCAAGAGAGTAAAAAGACAAAAACATGGCGGCCATTGCGGTACCGTTAACAATGGATGCTAATGAGAAATCTTTCAGCAAAGCCATTCAGGACAAAAATGGTACCAAAATGGCCGCGGTGACGTAACGTGCAATCGAAGAATACTCAAAGGTTGGTTATCCCTCTATAGGCTTAGATTGGGATATCAAGTAGTACAGCCAAAACAGTAATAAGTTACATTGGTGCATGGCGTTTAACCTATTCATTGAAGCATTTCCTGGGCCATTAATGAGATGGTCACCTTCTATCACGACTGATTGACAGTTAATTGGTTTACAGTAAAAACATCCTGCCATTATCGGATTAACGTCTAATTAAGCTGATTATGAATAAACATCTGAAGTAGGTAGTCCGATTATGAAGACTTTCAAGTGGGTTGCACATGAAAATCTCCAGGTAGAACAAACAAAAACATCTTAGTACACGTATAAGGATTAGGACAGATCTGGGACGTTTGGTGGCCCAAAAAGAACACCAAATGAATAGATTTTTTTATACCATAGAAACTTTCTCTGTGTAGTTTAGGACGGTTTAATACTTGGTGTCCAGATCGTAATGTGGTAGTGCGTTTATAGCTTGGTTATCGTATCTTGTTGGTGCGGTATTAGGTATATGCGTGTCTGACAAGTAACAGATGCCAGTACATAACTCCATGGTTTTGTGTCTGGGACTGTTAAATATGAATTTGTTCAAACTTGGCTATCCTATGACTGAATACTATTTGATGTGAGTAAAGAGTGAAAGAAATTGAGTTTGCTGGTCGTTCTTTCAGAAAACGTCAAAGCAGAAATGTTTCTAGGACTGAGCTATAAGGGATTGCAATAACACTGATGCATTTGTTCAAACTTAGCTATCCTATGTTGGTGTAAGTGAAGAGTAAAGCAATTTAGTTTGTTGGTCGTTCTTTCAAAAATAAAAATAAAAATGAAATGAAATGAAATGAAATGAAATGAAATGAAATAAAAAGAAAATAAAAAAGTTTAAGAAGAAGCTAAACGAAACAGTGTTGTTGAAATAGATCTGCGGGATATCCGTCATATCCGCCATCTCACGGCAACCACACGATCCTATCTGGAGGTCGTGACTATTCTTCTTATGAATTTCAAAAACGCCAGTTGCAATGCAACAATCTTTATCAAACAAACTGGCATAATGGACCATTCTCAAAATTATCTTGAATGGCTACTAGGCTAACATGGAAATGCCACAAATTCCGTCGAGAAAAGTGTAATATTTTTTGTGTGTGCTTTCAAGTTAGCCTCGCATTTAAGATAATTTTGAGAGGGGTCAATTATCCACGAATTTCGAACACTAGTGAATTTAAAAGTTGGGGTTGTTTCAAAGTTCTATCTGTGAGTTAGCCGCTAGATTAACTGCTCCAACAACTTAAAATCATAAATTTGATATCAGAGCTTTCGGGCTAAGCGCCCATCATCAAGGAACAATGTTTGGAGCCGAGGTTCAGAGTTCGAAAAATAAATTTAGATTGGATTTTGACTATTAATTCAGAAACATATATTTGATCGTGATGGAAATATGTAAAACCTAGTATTTTGATTTATCAAATGCTAAGATATCATGTTTAATTTAGATAAGAGATTCGCAATCACAGTAATCTTAAGTTGTGGAAGATTTCAAAGGCATTTTAAGTGAAGGGGTGTTACCCGTTCACCCTGTTTAAAGTGTTGTTGTTCGTTATCTAGGTAATTAACACATCTATAATACTCGAGAATAC